TTCTGTGATTCTGTGATTCTGTAATCTGGAAACCATAACATGGGCTTGTCCCAGCACACTGTTGGCTCCAGGCTTCTGCCACCCGTGGGTCTCTCCTGGGACAGCCAGGCCATTGCTGTCCCTGCTGTCCTGCATCTGCGACCTCCGTGACGCAGCAGCAATGCTCAGGCATAAAGCATGGCCGAGCGCTCAGCCCCTGGACTTCCCTCCTTGAAATTAAGGATATATATCAACAGCTCAGCCCAGCCCACAGCTTCAGCCAGGGGATGACTCATCCTCACACCCTACAGACAAGGGACAGCCCTGGGCTCTAAGCACTGCTGTGGGCACCCCATGAGGATGGCAGCACCAGGGGGCTGGCACTGGTGATGGCAAGACTCTCGCCTTGCAAGGCTGCTCCATTTCTGCAGAATTGGTTTCTTTTAAACATATTTAACTTTATTCTTGTATCTTTCCATACCTGATACCACTCCATATCTGAATCTCCCCCAGTAGCTCCTGTGAGCAAGACCCAGCACCCCAGCAGGGCTGAGCAGCCACCAAAGGAAGGGACCCAACAACGCATTTTGTACAGACACCAAGCTCATCCACACCAGAGAGGAGCAGATACTGGCTTTCTCTCTTGGAAAGCCTCATCCCATGCTTAAAAGCAGTGGTCAAGGCTCTATTGCACTGTCTCCATTCAGCCTGCAATGAGACTGCCCCCACAGGGCAAAGGGGTGGCATCTGCCCATTAAATCTGGAATTTGCTGCAAGGAAAGCCGTTATTTCCACAAGACCCATCTGGGTCCAATATCTCAGGGCATCCTCCCACTTCCCATGTCTGTTTCCCTGGGAAGGGGTTTGCATTGAGCAGCAGCCTCAGACCCATATCCTGCACCTCATCAGCCTCCTTCTCCCCTCTCCAACCTGCCCCTCCCTGGAAAGCAGCAGGCTCAATTAGACTAATACAAATTTTTAATGCACATATTCAATAAATATTTCAATAATTTCATATTCAATTTGTACACAACCAAACCAAAACAAAAATCCTCAAGGAAACAGGGAAAAAAAACAAACAATCAAAAAAGATTGGATGAAAAGTCACCCCTGGTTCTGGCTCCTATCCAGTGTCTTTGTTTGCCCTCCCCTTGAAGAATAATTGCTTTAACCCTTTGGAGAGAGTCACAGTCCCAGGGCAGCATGTGCAGAGCAGGGCTGGCTGGGGATGTTCACTCAAGAGATCTTATGTTTCCTTCAGGTTTTTTTTTTTTCTAAATAGAAAATTTGGCTTCTGTCAACACAGAAAATTTGAAAGAAAAGCTCTCCTTTCCCTATGAGGACAAGGAGAGCAGTATTTTTCATCATAAAGCAAACCTGGAAGAGACAGTTGACTTTGGAAGTGCCAACCACAAATGGAACATTACAACAAAACCAGCCCAAAATAGCTCCACAGTAATTTGTAAACTTTTTTAATTTTATGGATGAAAACTTCCATCTGATAAAAAAATATAAACAGAAAAAAAATATTGGTTTTGGTGAGAAGTTCACATTTTCCACACGGAAAAAAACACAAAAAACCATACCAGTTACCAGCCTGCTTCATGGCAGCTGTCACCCACTGCCTCACCTTAGTAGCTTAAAACAAACCAAATGCTTAGGTAAGAGGTACCAAGTCAGTTCAGGACTTTCTCTGGGGCATCCATCACCCCTGTCCCCTCCTGAGAAAAAAGTAAGTTGGGAGTTGTAAAGCCAGCAGTGTTCTCGGAAGGATGCAAGTGGCTTCCAGCAACCCCTCGCTCAGCCGAAGAAGGAGGCGCATCTGAGGAAAGAAAGCATCCAGCGGTCCTCGGCCCGGGCATTGCAGCCAGCCCCCACAGGCAGTGCTCACACATCACCCGGGCTGCAAAACCCACCCAAGAGACCTCAGGACACCTCTGAAATAAATCCCTTCCCTTAATTGTTTTCCAACCTCTCCATCTTCTCTGGTAAGCATTAATTCAGTTCGTTTAAGTAGCACATTGCTCCCAGATTTGGATTTCCAGATTTTTGCTTGTTTGTTTTAAACGGTGATTTTTTTTTTTTATCTTTTACCCCTAGAGCTACCAAAAAAAAAAAAATTACAAAATAAAATGTGACCCCCAAACAAACTAGAAAATTTCTAAGTGAAGGTCTCTTCCCCCTTTACCAGTCTTTGAACTTTTCATTTCTTTTAAAGTTGGAGTACAAAAATAGAGCCTCTCTTTTTTTGTCCTTTTTTTTTCCATAAAAACCAAACCATCCCCCCAAAATTATCAACAACTAGAACAGGTAATTTTTTTTTTATCCCCTTCTCCCTCCCTTATTTTTAATACCTATATGGGAAAGTCTCTACATATAGTCCACCAAGCTCAGAGGAGAATCCTCCGGAAGAGGCACAGGCAGAGCGGGCAGGGACAGGCAAGTCAAGGGCCTGCTCTGCTGTTGGAGTTTCTAGTCCTTTTACTTCTCCGGTTGAAGGGATAGTTGAGGAATTCAAAGCGTCTGTGGGGCTCGGTGGTCTGGTGGCCCTTGGGAAGCCTCTTCATGAAATGCACTTCGCGCTGGTGCTGCCGGGTCTTGGAGCCCTTGCGCGGGCGGCCCTTGCGGGTGAAGGCCATGTACCAGCCCTCATATTTGGCGTTCTGCAGTGCCGTGTAGTTGTTCTCCAGGACGATCTCGGTGAAGACGCAGTCCTTGCCTTTGCCATTGCTCTGAGAAGGGGACAAAGGGGGACATTTAAGCTACGGGTGCTCAGTCAGAGGGCTTTACTTACTGCGAGGGTGGCGAGGCACTGGAACAGGTTGCCCAGAGAAGCTGTGGATGCCCCATCCCTGGAGGTGTTCAAGGCCAGGCTGGATGAGGCTTTGAGCAACCTGGTCTAGTGGAGGGTGTCCCTGACTGTGGCAGGGGGGTTGGAACTAGGTGATCTCTAAGGTCCCTTCCAACCCAAACCATTCTATGATTCTTCTCACTGCCCCAAGTTGGACTGGCTGGTGCAGCAGCAGGGTTGCAGCGCTTGTAGCACTTGTGGCCAGCCACTTTTCCCACCTCTTCTCCTACAGGTCAGGATTACCCAAAATCTGTTTTTCCTTAGAAAGCTGCAGGTAACAGGTATTGTGGTATGAGCAGACGCTGCTCATTGCGGCTCACGTTCCCACTGTGATGCCAGTACCAGGCTGCAAACCCCGGTGTAGCTTATCCAACCCTCATTTCCACTGCACCCATAAGAGGATTTTGGCTCACTCCCATCCTGCCCCCACCCAGGCCAGGGGCTGTCTTCCCCCCCTAGTATGACCAAAAGCAAACACTCCATCTCAGTGGCAATTTGCCCACTCACCCTATTCCCCCTGGGGTCTTTAATATAGGAGGGCTATCAAGGGGCAGGAGAACTGATGCAGGGTCCACGAGGACGATGCCCACAGAGATGGGTGTCAGGGAACATGGAGACAGCTGGAGGCTTAGGTCCTCCCCTTTAAAGGCAGCAGCGGGACCAGGGAGGGGACCCGCATTGGCCAGCCCGAGAAAAGGAGGCACCATGGAAAATCCTCCCAGACAATCGCCATCCCAGCAGGATTTTCCACATCCAACCCCTTCTGTCCCCAGGGAGGGAGCGTCAAGGCTTGGAGGGAGCGTGACTAACCGGCGTGTGGCCTTGGGGCCAGCCCCACAGAGCATCTTAACATTCCTGCACTTGTACCATGTAATTGGGGAGAATAGGCCAGCAATCCGCCTATTTGTTCGGGGAGATACAAGGAATGCGTCCCACATGGCACCCGCCCACCTCTCTTGCTCCCCCTTTTCCCTCCCACCACCCGGGCTGCAGGATGGCTCATCCCCCTGCCCTCCAAAGGGGTGTGCTGGCTGAGCCCCTGGGACCCCCATCCCACCTCCCCATCCCCACGGATGGGCTCTGTACCAAGAGTGACCTCCTCTCCCAGCAAGCCCCGCTCAGTGCCCACAGCGCATCCCTGGCTGCCTTGTGCCCTTGAGCCCAGCATCCCACCTTGCCGATCAGCTTCCCCTTCTTGTTCATGCAGATGTAGAAACCAGTGGCTGCCCCCTTGATGCGCACACGGCTCCCGAAGGTGTCCGTCTCCACAATGAGCTTGGCTGGGGAGAGAAGTGGGAAGAAAAGAAAGGGGTGTCAAAGGGGCTCTCGGATGGGGCAGGCACAGCAATGGAGACCCCAGCAACACCTGACACTGGGCACTGTGGGCACACACTGGGCAGGGAGGCGGCTGGACCAGAAAGAGCCTTAAAATCAAGGCATGAGGTTAAGCCTTGGCCCCTCTACCCCGCCACTGTGTCCCTCCATGATCTTGGTCACATCCCTTTGCCACCCTGAGCCATGCTGTGGGGTGGAGTAGCTCTGCCTTGCCCGGCTCTGTGGGGCTCAGCAGTTCAGGTGCCGCAGAGACATCCCAGAAGGGAGGCAGGGCGGTGAGCAGGGCATGCCCTGGCCAGTGGAGAACAAGGCAGCTGCCCTGCAAATCAAGGCAGGTCTGGGCCAGCCTGCAGGCAGGAAGCAGGCAGACACTCTCTGGAAGTGCACAGCGTGCTGCCAGCTGTCCCCAGCCCAGGGGACACCGCTACATGTCTCTCTGCCAGGCCAGGGCTGCAGGAGGAGCAGTGACTTTGCAGCTGGTAGGGGAGGCGTGAAGGGTACGGCCATCCTTTTAATGCCTTTCACCTTTGCACAAGTAGAGAGGGCGTATTGATTTGGTCTCAGTTTTTTAATGGAGGAATCGATCGACTTCCGAAGGAGCTATGCAAATCGCTGGGTCGATGGGCTGCCTATAAATAGACCTGTCACCTTCCCTCCCTGCCTCCGCTCTGGGAACCAGAGCCCCGAAGCCCATCCATCCCCAGGGAAGGGGGAGGATGGGGACAGGACATCCTCCTCCCCAGCCCTGCAGCTGCTGTCCCCAGAGCCAGCTGACCTCCCTGGAGCAAGCCCCAGCAGGGATGCTGGCTACCTGTTGGCACCTCAAAAGGGCTGTGCTGTGCCAAGCACCAAAGATTTCCCCAAGGTGCTGAAAAGACAGCTGGGACTGTCCCATCTCACCACCATCCCTTCTTGCCCAGCATGAGCCCCTAGTGCCATAAACACAATTTAGAAAGGTAATTAGAGACTTATTATAGGAATAAACCCATTGATGCCTTGTTTCTCCTCTCCGATCTCTGCACAAGGGCTGCTCAGTTCCTTGGGACTGTGGTCCACCCCAGCTTGCACATCTCTACCCCAGGATACTCAGCCACCAGGGAGCCCCAATGAGGGCAGCGCCGTGGCTCTGGAGCAGGTGGCTTTGCAGGAGGATGCTTTGAATGGCAGAAGGAGGCTGTGGGCACATGCACAAGCTAAAGTGAGCCTAAATCACACTCTGGGCTGTGAGCAAACTGCTGTCTCTCCCTCTCTGCAATGCCCTTAACCTGCATCCCTTGGATCATGGACACTGCTAAGGTCAGTGGCACCGAGGGTGGGGACACCAAGCGGGCAGTTCTGGCAGCAGCTGAGTTGAGCAATGGAAAGCACATCTCAAAATTTACTGGGGCCAACTGATTTGGTGCTGCTGGGCAAGCGAGGCTCAATGCACATGCAGGCACCCCCTCCCCAGACTCGCTCCTGCCAACGTCACTTTGCCCATCTCTCATCCCCAAACTACCCCACCCCCACAGCACTCCACCCCCAGCCAGGAACAGACTGGACTCAGAGCCAAGAAATTTGGGAAGAGCCAACTCCATGTTGTGCCACTCTGGCACCAGCACCCGGCACGCACCCAGAGTCCCCAAAACCAGCCACGGGAAACATAGTGCTCTGTAAACACAGCACTGAGACTGTGACCCCCTATTTATCTATATTGGGGAAAGGGGGAATAGAATTGATCTCAGAGGCAGTAAAAGGTTTGAGGAGAATTGATTTTTCTCTCCAAGAGATAGAAAGAGCAGGGAGGGAGGGAGGGACGCAGGAGGAAGGGGGGAGGCCTCAGCCCCAGCAAGCACAAAACCCCACTTTAAAGATGCACATCACTTCTCTTTTGGCCTTTTTTTTTTTTCCCCCCCCAAAGAGTAGCTGTGA